GCATCACCAGGTTGGGGTTCTCACGCACGTCCAGGATCTGCCAAGGAGGACACAGCAGACCCTCAGTGCTCTGAAGAACAGGCTCACAGGGACACCGAGGATGTGGGGTGGGATGGGAGACCTCTGGATCACCCTGGGCTTTGGTGAGGGGATGTGGAGGGAGCCCCCAGTTCATCACCTGCCTGGGCTGAACCGTGTGCCTGACTGCATGCATTGGTCCCAAGACTCCCTGTCCTCACCCCATCCCACCTTGCAGCCCTGGGACCCCAGGGACATGCTGGGGCTGTGATGAAACCAGCCAAAGGGGGTGTTGGGCTCTCACCTCCACATCTGTCAGGAAGTGGATGGCCTCTGGAAGTGTCACCAGGCGGTTCTTGTTCAGCACCAGCTTCCTCAGCTTGGAGCACCTGTGTGACATGGAGATGCCAGTGAAGGGCCAGGCCAGGGTGACACTCTGTCACCATAAAGCCTCTATGTCCCCTCTCAGCGACAGAGTAGATAATTTTGGGGACTTTCCTCTACCTGCACAGGCTCTCAGGGATGAGCTCCAGGTTGTTGTCAGCTGCCATGAACTCCTCAAGGTTGATGAGCTTGCCAATGCCTGAAGGGATCCCGTCAAAGTCCAGCTTGTTGGAGTTCAGGTACATCTTCTTCAGCTTGGTCAGCTTGCAGATGGCTGACTGGGGAAGGAAGAGAGGATGGGGTGAGGGAGAACCCGGTGGCATGGAGGCATGGACATCGTGTACAGGCAGGGACATACAGGCAAGGAGGTGAGCTGGTTGCGGGACAGGTTGAGGGTCTCCAGCTGGGTCCACTGGTCGATGCAGAGGGACAGCTCTGTGATCTCGTTGCTGCTGAGGTTGAGGCGCCGCAGGCTGCCCAGGGTGTAAAGGCACTCGGGGACACGACTCAGGTTGTTGCAGGACAGGTCCACATCTGGGAGAAGACAACAGGGTGATGCCATCAGCCCGACCCACACCAGGGCAGAGAGAGCCCCTGGAGAACCTCAGGCACTGTGGAGCTGGGTACTCCGGCCCTACCTGCCAGGTTCACCAGGCCCTCCAGGCTGGTGGGCAGGTTGCTCTGGGTGCGCTGGGTGTTCCTGAGGTGGAGGGTCTGCAGGGCTGTCATTGCTGGGAGCTGCCTGCAGACCACAGAGAACCACAGGGCAGAGACAGTGTAAGGGCTGGAGCAGGCACCCAGCCCAGCCCTGGAATTGTGGGATCCAGCTGGGAAAACAGGGCCTTACCGGAGCTGTGCGTGCAGAAGGGGGTTGTGGTTGAGGATGAGGGTCTGGAGGTGGACCAGGCGTCTCATCTGTGGGGGGAGGCTCTCCAGCTTGTTGTTGCTCAGGTCGAGGTACAGCAGGTCCGTCAGGTTGATGAAGAGCTGGTTGGGGATGGTCTCAATGCTGGAGGGACACGGGGGATGTTCAGGGCTGCCTGGGACCTGTACCAGCCCTGAGTCTCCCTCAAGGAGGGGCAGAGAGCAGGACCCAGAGGGAAGGGGGTGATGGATGGAGGTGGCTGTGGCTAGAGGGAGATGGCTACCCTGGCCCAGACCCACCTGTTGTGGCCGAGGTTGAGGACCAGCATGTTCTTGGCATTCTCCAGTTCCCGGGGACACTCTGTGAGCTGGTTGTAGCTCAGGTCCTGGGGCAAGCAGGAGAGCAAAGCAGGCATCACCCTCTGCCTCGCATCCAGCAACCACCACCCAAAACTGAGGACTGAGGGGCATATCTGGGAGGGCACAGCCTTCCTACAGCCACTCTCATCAGCCAAGGAAGCTCTGCACCTACCAGCACCGAGAGATCATCCAGCTGGAAGATATCATCAGGGACTCCTGAGTTCTTCAGCTGGTTTGCACGAGCCACAATCGCCTTGAAAGGGGAGAGAGCAGCACGACTGCAGCCACCTGCCAGCTCTAAGCCTGCTGAGCACCCCAAGGTGGCCAGGGACAGTCCTCATGTGTCCCCAGAGCTAGTCAAGAAGTGCCACCAGCCCTGATACAGGTGGAACACACGAGGGGGACTTACCCGGAGGCAGGGCAGGCTGGAGAGCTCGCCATGGAGTGTGGTGAGGCTGTTGTGGCTCACAGAAAGGTGTTCCTGCCAGGAGACCCAGAGGAGCCCCAGTGAGCAGAGAGAAGCCAAGGCTGCATGGAGCAGCCCCCGGGTCCCTGCACTGGCCTGGGGGGATCCACACTCCCAGGAGAGTCAGGGGTACACAGAGGGTTGGGGTGAGCTCAGCCCTGACCCACGTGAGGCTGCTGGGATGCCCCAGTCTCAAACTATTGGATTTGCCCCAGTGTGTCCATTGCTGCCTCTATACCCTTCCTTCCATGGGGCAGACACCCCAGCCTTGCTGCAGTGTTCAGGGTGCTCCAGGATGATACCAAAGTGGCTTGTGGCAGTGCCACACAGTTCCCAAGCTAACAGACCCCAGTCCTTGAAACACTTGTCACTGGGTGATGAGGAAAGGGGGCAGATGTGGGAACCAGCAAGGCTGGAGGAGGGCCCAGGGGACAGTTTTGTCTTCCTCAGGGCACCACCAGCCTGGCTGTCACCTGCTCAGGAGACTGAGGCACTAGTAGACAGGTTTAAAGTGTAGCCATGGCCCCCGAGCACCTGGCAGGAGTGTGGCTCTGGGCAGCAGGGAGGTCCTTCCCCACCTGAGCCGGGCACAGCGACACAGTGACAAGAACATTTGGCATCATTTAAAGGTCCACGTTTGGCTGGCACTGAGTTAACAACGTCCACAACGTGCTGCAGGACACTGCCAAAAGACAGCTCAGCCAGGGGCTCCACCAAGGGCCTGGTCAGGCACAAAACTCAAGCTGCCCAGAAAACAAAGCCAGGCAGCTGCTGTCGTCCCAGACATCACCAACATCACTGCCAGCTACTGCCCCTTCATGCTCTTTAGCAAAGCAGGAGGAAATAAAAAAAAACCCCAAACCTTAATCTTTCCCATATTAAACCTTCACCCTCCCCTTCTATTAAAGGGAAGAGGATCTAAGCATGGTTTTTAGTCTGGTTTTCTAGGAAAACAAGGTGAAACCGAGTACAAGTCTGTCTCAACCCCACTGCTAACAGCTCCTACATCCCATTCCAACCACAGGCCGTTGCTCAGCCCTATTATTAGCCACCAGAGCATCCGCCAAAGAGCCACGAGGCTGGCAGGCACCCGGCTCTCGAGTCTGAGCCCCATCCCCTGCCCCAAACCTGCTGCTCACCAGCTTCTGGAGGGCAGCCAGCTCCTCGGGCAG